GGAGCCTGCTTCAGTCTGTGACTCCCTCTCTCTCTGACTCTCCCCTGCTCACGCTGTCTCTCTCTCTCTCTCCTAGAAATAAATAAAAAAACATTAAAAAAAAAAATTAAAAAAAAAAAAAAAACCATGCCACGTGGTGCTTGGAGCTCAGTTCTCTGGGTACAAACCCAACTGAGCGATGCCGGCTGGAATAAAGTTGTTTCCTGGAGAGAAAAGCCTCGGTGTCACGACTCTCTGTGTGAGAATCCTGCTACAAAATGACATGCAAAATGAAACGAAATCCAACTCAACACCCTAAGTTACTCCACCACTTCACAGCCTACACAAACACACAGCATCACCACTCTCTAAGTAACATACAAGCCCCATGTCCATCTTATAGGTCTTACACCTTCCACCAACAAAGAATAATAAAATACAGTTATCCAAACCTCAAGTGCGTTTACATATTACAGTTTTGGAATGTATTTATACATTTAGGAGAGAAACAATTTACCCATGATTTTTTATGTAGTTAAATTCAAATTTGTAACTTTAATCAGTATTAACCACTAAGTTCCTATTTATTGGAAACAGAACTGAAGAAATAGTCTTGAAAAAAGATTTCTTCTTCAAAAGAAATATATACAGTTTACTTGAGAGTCAGTTTGATAATACCTTTCCTTCTAATAAAGATAAACCACTAAGATTGCTTGGAGTGGCTGTTTAAATCCCAAACAGGGCTCCACTTTTCTCTAGGATAATGTCAGTTAAAACAATTAAGTCACTTAAGCACTACTATTGTATTCATCTTAATCTGAGAATGAGATAATCAGAGGAGAGTGAGAAATTCTTCAACAGGAATGAGAACAGGAGTAAGACAAGTATAATGATTAGCATGAATAGTGATTTCTAGCTCCTTTAATATGTCCATTCAATACGCCCACTAATGCTTTAGGAAAGTAACAACCAAAGAGGTCTGAGCGGCCAACACAATGTGGCTGACACAAGCATTTCTGGCCCCACTTAACTCAGACCACTACACTGTCTGGCCTCTGTAAACTACAGAGCAAGGATACACAAAACAATTCCCCAGTGATTTGAATGATTATATCTGCCTGTAAACACCTGGATGCTGCTGTTAATTGGGAGATGTAAGAAGCCTATGCCGTAAATAAATGGTCCACTTTCAAGCAGTTACCAAATGTCCCCAAAGTCTCTCATTTTTATTTATTTTTAAAAATTTTTAATGTTTTTATTCATTTTTTGACAGACAGAGAGATACTATGAGCCGGAGAGGGGCAGAGAGACAGGGAGACACAGAATCTGAAGACAGGCTTCAGGCTCTGAGCTGTCAGCACAGAGTCCAATATGGGGCTCAAACCCACGAACTGTGAGATCATGACCTGAGGTGAGGTCGGACGCCTAATGGACTGAGCCATCCAGGTGCTACAAAGTCTCTCATTTTAAAGAATGTCTTTTAATTAGTTTTTATGGGGAAAAAATATGTATTGGTCAAAGATACAAGGAAATATAAAATCTGCATCTACTCACAATGTTTCTCACTATAAATTCCTCACATTATGATTTATTTGTATTCTTAGGTGTATTTATATCCTTACGTGATTTTGTTCCTGAAATGACTTCTCACCATTGCCTAAGGAAGAGGTGTGCAGCCATGTGGCCACTGTTTAAGAATGACAGTGATATAAGGGCACCTGATCTCTTGGTTCATGAGTTCGAGCCCGCATCGAGCTCTTGTGCTGACAGGTAAGAGCCTGGAGCCTGCTTTGGAATCTCTGCCCCTTCCCTGGTTGCCCTCTGTCTCGGTCTCAGTCTCTTTCCCTCAAATATAAACATTAAAAAAATTTTTTTTTTAAATGACAGTACCATAAAAGAAGACCCTTCATTTTTCTATCCAACTTCTTGGTAGATACTTGCTATTGGTTAATTAATTTCCAGATATTTTTGAGACACTATCAGAGAAAGAGCACTCTTATTATTTAAGACCACAAATTAGTATCTTTTATAAATTTAAATATTTTTCTTTTATTTTGAGAGAGACAGAGAAAGTGTGTGAGCACACATGCCAGCAGTGGGGAGGGTCAGAGCGAGAGGGAGGGAGGGAGACTCTTAAGCAGTCTCTGCTGGTGCAGGGCTCCATCCCTTGACCCTTAGATCATGACCTGAACCAAAATCAGGAGTTGGACGCTCTACTGTTCTACTGACTGAGTCACCCAGGTGCCCCAGGACCTTAATAATAAGAATGCTTCACATATTCAAGATTCCCTCCTCCCCTTGTCTGTTAAATCTTCCCATTGTGTCTTCCCTAACAAGTGTTGCCATTAGCAAACGCATTACAATTTAAGTAATGAGGCGGTCCTGAGATGTGTGAATTTGACAGTACACTGGAGCCACAGGACCTAAGGACAGGGAGGGTGGAAGAGGCGGGTGCCCTCCTTCGGTGCCCGCCCACCGTCTGTGCTGTGCACTGGTCCCACGGGTGCTCTGAGGAACCGATGCACACAGAGAAAAGAGCTAAGGCTTTCAGGATAGCCATACAGAGGTTTAAATCCCAGCTGGGGGACCTCAGAATATGTATTTAGCACCCGGGAGCCTCATTTTCCTCCCATGTGAAGTGGGGATAATGCTACCCTCCCTGAAGGACTCATGAAGATGGTAAGGTAGGTAGGCGGTACGTATGAATCACCCATCCCAGGGCTGGCGGTATGAGAAGCTGGAAGAGGCACATGCGGGCATAATGAGACCACAGCTTTTGCTTCCTGGACCTGAGTCATCGCTTCCATCCAGAGCGCAGCTATGTTCATCGTGGCCCACCCCTGCCAGGCCATCTATTTTCTCCTCTGCTCAGTGGGCTCAGTGCCCAGTCTGAGGACAGAGAACACGCAGGAGTGTTACTACTTGCCATTCATCTTGTCGTGCACATTGCCTCCCTGTGTCCCATGTTTTGGAGAGCTGGAAATATTCCATAGTTCCCTCCTAGCCTTACTCACTGAGAACTTGAGGGGAGGAAAAGTACACCTCCTCCTCACCGAACCACATGACTTTCTACTCTGTCCCATAAAACCCACCATGGAGACAAAGGACACTGATTCAGGTGTCACTGTGGTTTTGGTTAACATTCTCTCATATTTTAAAAAATTCTTTCTTGTTTATTTATTTCTGAGAGAGAGAGAGAGAGAGAGAGAAAGAAAGAGAGAGCATGAGTGGGGGAGGGGAGAGAGAGAGGGAGACACAGAAGACATAGAATCTGAAGCAGGCTCCAGGCTCTGAGCTGCCAGCACATAGCCCGACATGGGGCGTAAACTCATGAACCATGAGATCATGACCTGAGCTGAAGTTGGACACTTAATTGATTGAGCCACCCAGGCGCCCCAGCATTCTCTCACATTATTAGCATTTGCTTTTCCCACTCTGCGGTGGTTGGGGCTGGCAACATCTCCTCTCCTGTGAACACCAAGTACTACTTCTGTGCCGGGGCTGCCATGTCCTTCCTAGAGGACATCATTGCTCCTCTAGGTCCATCGCGTCTATATATGGCAGGCACCAGGCCATGGCAGCGCCCGTGCTGGTAGAGGCAGGCAGAGCCACAAGACACTATCATGGGAAAGATATGTGCTCACATATGGACACACAGCATGTTCTGCTCTGAACCATCAAGCTCTTAGTTCACTTCGAGGTGTGAGCAGACATACATCTTTTCCCTAGCTTCAGGTGACCCCTTATTCCAAGTTATCTGACACTTTCGAGCCATATTCTCATTTCTTTAAATGTTTATTCACTTTTTTGAGAGAGAGAGAGTGCAAGCGGGGGAGGGAGACAAAGAATCCGAGGCAGGCTCCAGGCTATGAGCTATCAGCAGCAAGCCCCATGCAGGGGTCGAATATTCAAAGCGTGAGATCATGTCCTGAGTCCAAGTTGGATGCTTAACTGACTGATTTATTAGAGAGCCACATTTATTAAGAGTTATTGTGATGACAAAATAGATGCTTATAAAGCACCTCAGAGTTTGGCTCATAAAACGTGAAATGGTAGATGTGGCAAATAATTTTGTATCACTAAAGAAAGTTCTTCGTCTAACTCTATAAGGACATCCCCAAATTTCCAATGAACACGCCTGCAACATCTTAGGGAGACTAAATAGTCTAAATTAGCTGAGCTACCGTGATTATTTTCCTCCTCTCTCTGGTCAGCTGACCCCCAGTAAATAGCTATATCCAGTACCAACGCCTGGAGTTTTAAGTTTGGCAGAGTCATCTGAAGGGCAGTGAGAACGAACGAGACCAGATTGGTGACCAAGTCCCTCTCCACCTTACTGACCTCCTCCCTGTTATGACAAGCCCCTCCCTGGTCCGCTGCACTCCCCCCGGCTCTGTTGGGCCCCGCCTCATAATGATAAGCCCCGCCCCGTTAACACAAGCCCCTCCCTGCTCTGCCAGACTCCTCCCCATTCTATTGGGTCCCTCCCCATTATGACAAAATCCATCCCCGTTATGACAGCCCCTCCCCGTTATGACAGCCCCTCCCTGCTCTGCCAGACTCCTCCCCACTCTGAGGAGGCTGGATCCAAACCGAGCCGGCTGAGAGAGGGTACGCTTTGGCCTTCCCGTTGTCCTGTCCGACTCCCAAAGGGAGAAGACCGTTCCCTTCATACCCCTCTGTTTCAGGAGCATAGGCTTTGACCCTTGACATCACATAAGCGCACACATGCACAGTTCCAAGCCTGGGAGCCGACACCCGCACATGCGCAGATCCGGGCCTGGGGGGGACCGTGTCTGCACATGCGCAGGTCCAGACCTGGATGACACTGCTTACACATGCGCAGATCCAACCTGGAGGCCCGTGCCCGCACATGCGCAGGGCCAGACCTGGAGGCCCGTGCCCGCACATGCGCAGGGCCAGGCCTGGAGGCCCGTGTCCGCACATGCGCAGGGCCAGACCTGGAGGCCCGTGCCCGCACATGCGCAGGGCCAGGCCTGGCGGCCGGCGCGCGCACTGACCTTCGCGACAGTCTTGCCACAGCCGCAGGTCCACCTGCGGTATCTCGCTGCAGCTCAGGTAGTCCTGCGGGTACTGCGCCTTCACGAAGACGTCGGCCTGCACCTGCCGGATGTTGTCGCCGTTGTCGCAGAGCACGCGGCCCAGGGACGCCTGCCTCAGCTGAGTGAGCTGTGCGGGGGTGAACACTCCGGGGTTCTCGTACCAGAACCTGGGGGTCAGCACGGAGAGGGGCGGGGTGAGGTCCTGGGCGAGCGTGGTAGCAGCACAGACAAGCTCAACAACGTGTATGGAGAGGGTTAGGTTTGTCCTGCAGCGAGCATGCTCTCAATTGCCTCCAGTGTTTATGAAGCTCTTAAATCCCGTGCTTTCCAGCTATCGCTTTCTGTTCAGCTTTGACAACATGACTCAAAACAAAGCGTTGTAAAGTTAAAAAGAAAAAAAAAGCCCGTTTTCTATTCTAAAATTCCATAAACTAGTTTTAGAAATTACCTGGACAATTTAAGATTGACCTGTTTGCCTAAAAGGGAAATAGTGCTTTTTCATCATTAATACATACTAGTTGATTATATCTATTAGCTAATTAGAATAAACATTCGATTTTAACTGAAAAGATACAGTTTAAACCCACTATTAAAGTGAATCCTTATTCATTCCTTCAGGGACTGTTTCCAAGCACTTTTCTTGCACTCGGCATACAACATAAATTAAGATAGGAAGCAAAAGACTGTTGGCACTCACATGGTGTATGGACTGACTTGTGTCCCCTCAAAATTCATATTCGTTTAAATCCTAGCCCCCAGGATTTCAGAATGTGACTTTATTTGGAGAGAGGGCCATTAAACAGTTAAGTTAAAAAAAAAAAAAGTCGTTAGGGTGTCATGGAGGGAATTGAGGTCATAATCCAGTATTACTAGTGTCCTAAGGTGGAAAGGAAATATGCTTACAGGCAGGTCCAGAGGGAAGACCTGTGAAGACAAAGGGAGAAGCTGGACATCTACAAAGCGAGGGAAGCCTCTGTATGGATCAACCTTCCAACCTTGATCCAGACTCCAGAACTGTGGGACAATATATTTGTCATGTAAGCCACCCGGGCTTTGGGACCTTCTGTATCCGAGTAAACTAATTCACATGGAGAAGACAGCTTACTCAAAAAGAAAAAGAAGAAGAAGAAGAAGAAAAAAACCTTTCCCAAGTTTATTTAGTTTTTGACTACATATATTCTTAAATTAAAAAAAAATTTTTTTTAATGTTTATATACCTTTGAGAGAGAGAGAAAGACAGAGTGTGAGTGGGGGAGGTGCAGAGAGAAGGGGAGACACAGAATCAGAAGCAGGCTCCAGGCTCTCAGCTGCTAGCACAGAGCCTGACAGGGAGCTCAAACTCATGGACTGCGAGATCGTGACCTGCGGCGAAGTCACATGTTTCACAGACTGAGCCACCCAGGTGCCCCTAATTCTTAAACTATTATCAGTTGAACATATTAGCCCAACTATGTGTTGCACTAAATCCAGTTTGTCAAAGCTAATTTATAAACACTAAAATGAAATACTATACTATGAATGTTTGCCAATGTGCAATAAAGAAATTTCTTTCTTATAATACTTTATATATAAATATGTATTTATATTTACATAATTTCTTTATAATACTACTTTCTTTATAATTCATAACTCAAAGAGACTGGTAAGAAAAATTTTAAATAAAGAATAATTTTGGGGATGCCTGGTTGGGTCAGTCGGTTGAGCAACTGACTCTTGATTTTGGCTCAGGTCATGAGCTCACAGTTTCATGAGCAGTGATGGCACAGAGCCTGCTTGAGATTCTCCCTCTCTCTCTGCTCCTCCCCACTTTATTCTCTGTCTTTCTCAAAATAAATAAATAAACTTTTTAAAAAAAAATTTAAAAAAAATTTTTAGTGTAACTTTAATTAAACACTAAGCTGTAGGCAGTGTTGAAGTCCTTTGGATATATATGTATCCAAATATATATATATATGTATGTATATTTGCAGAAGGTTAAATCCTGGAACCGGTTCACAAGAATCCTAGCTCTTACTCAAGACTATACTAATGATTCGGAAGATACAGCCAGTGTCCCTGGAACACATTTGGTTCAAGTAATAGAGGAGAGCTAATAGTGTGTCCCACGCCAGCTAAGTGGGGGCTGCCTAGCTTTTCGGTTTTCTTAAGTTTTATTCGTGGCTAGCCTTGCCACAAAGAGATTATACTAACTCACATCTCCTGCCAGCTGTCTGTCATAATGTCATAAATTCAAGTTGATTCACAACAGATACTTTCGACAAACCAAGAGATTTTTAGGAAGAAGTCTCAGTTATTTTTCCACCAGTAAGTGCCCTTAGCACACAGTTTTGTGAGGAGGTCTGGTCTTGGGTCAGCAGGTCTTCGACAAGGGTGAAGGGATGGAGCGTCAAGCCTGCTGTCACTTCCTGCACCACCAACATCATTTACAGGTGCCACAGTCCATGAACCCTACTGTTAAACAGACTGTACAGATGAGGGAACGCGTTTTGGGTAATATGCCGTGAGCAGGGGTGCCGAGATTTAAACATAAGATAGAGTCTAGTGCATTCTTTTAACCACTCACTTCTGTGCCCTTTCCAGTCAATTTATTCTCCTTACAAAGATTTACAAGAACCTATGAAAATGAGTGCCATCCGGTATTATCAGTGGTCAGAAAAATTCTGTGACCAGTTGCCATATGTTATTCACTATATTTTAAATCATAGGAAGTACAGATTCATACTTACAATGTTACTGTACACTTAGATTTGGGGGCGAAACCCGATTTTGTTGTCTTTGATAAGTATAACATAATTCTTCACCTGTCTCCGTCTCTCAGCCGCTGAAACTGGGTAACAAACAGGCACATAAGTGTTGGTCCCACTCTCGTGCCAGGGATCAGGTCTTCCACCATGAGGGCTGGCCAGAGGTCGATGTTGCCTGGAGCTCCGTACAACCTGAAGCAAAGACAGACAGACAGACATCACATGCTGGACTGTGGAAGTGACACTGACCATATTATTTACACTGAGAACTGCAAAGCATTTTCCAAATTTTATAAACATTTAAATACACTAAAAAGGCAGAGAGTATTTTTATGTTCATTTCACAGGTAACAACGTTGAGATGATGAAAGTGTTCAGGGATCATTCAGCCAGTCAGGAACAGAGCAGGGTCCCACTAAGGGCATTTAACACCGTTCATGTGATATTCAGTGTGTTCTTCTTTACAATTATCCTGTAAGTATATGGAATATAACTGTGTGTGTGTGTGTGTGTGTGTGTGTGTGTGTAGACCAGCATCCAACTAATTCTTTCAGAAACATGTAGCAAGTACACTAGTCAACTGAGCATTAAAAGATTTCCATGTCAGTGTATTTGAGATGTGTGCTAAATATTTAGAGTGAAAAAATAATTGGTGGAAATAATGTATTAGTTAAATTTCCTTCTTGCTAAAAAGATTGTGATCCTTTGATTTTGGGATTTGAAGTGGTTTTGTAAATTTTAAAAATATGATAATGGAAGTGACAATTTAAGCCAAACAACTTTGGATACACCATCCACTTAAAGAAAACATGACCAGCACTCCTGGGACTCCGTGTGACAGCTGCCTGTCGTTCCCTGTCTCTAAGGATAAACATGGGAGCAACTTTAACACTTTATTTAATGCATAAAATTCTGTAGACTTTACATAGTTTAGCTTCGTATGTTTTAACCTTGGCACAAGTGGAGACATAATGTTCATACTTCCTTGTTTTCGCTCCGTGGTTTACTGGAGACCCATGTGGCTGCACGCATCTGCAGCGAGTTCCTTTCTCAGCTCTGTAGTAGCCCCTTGGCCACTCTTCCAATGCAGTCGTCCATTCTCTTGGCGATGAATATTTGTGGTGTTTTCAGCATTTTACTACGAACATTCTCACACATGTTTCTTCATATGGACAGAAGTCTCTCTAGACTAGGCATCAGCAAATTTTTATGACAAAAGATGAGACGGTAATAAATATGTTCAGCATTGTGTGCCACATTTTGCAATGTCTCAACTCTTCCCTTTTCCACAAAAGCGGCCAAAGACAGCATATAAAAAAAGGGACACAGTTGTGTTCCAATAAACCTTTATTTACAAGCAGGCAGGGGGTTAGAACGGCCAGTGGGCTGTGGTTTGCAGATCCCCACTCTAGAACATGCCAATGCTAAGGCTTCAAATGCTGAGTGCAGAGCATGACACTTTTAATTTTCACAGATAATGCCAACTGCTGTCTAAGATGTACGTATAGTTCATACTCTCATAATAGGCATATAGAAGTTCTCTGTGATACACATCCACATGCATATCTTCAACTTTAATAGGTAGTGCCCTTGGCACATTGAATTTATTTTTTAGTGTTTTTTTGAGTCTAGTCAAATCTCATCACTGCTACCCTTCTTCCTCCTTCCCCTCCCTCCTCCTTCCTTCCCCTCCCCCATGCCCTCCCTGTCCTCCCCCTCACTCCTCTTCCTTCTCCTTCTTTTTTCTTAATTTCTGATGATAGCTGGGCTTTCAGTATCTCCAAGTACTTGTTGGAGTATTTGAGTGTTTAATTCAGATTCAAGTGTTGTATTGTAGACTGTATTGTAGATTCCTTCTGTTTCCATTTTTTTTCGCCCAGGAGACTTTTTCTCTGAAATGTTTTGATTTGCATTTCTGTCTTCTTGCTTTATTTGAAGTAAGCTCTCTCTCTCTCTCTCTATCATTACAGGTATTTCATGGAGTGGACTCTAGTCGAGTAGCATTCTCTTCTGTCACCCCCTGCAGGACAACATCTTTGATTGCAGTGTTGGTGGCCATGGGAAAGAGGAGGCATTGGCACATTTTATTTCTCTATCATCTCTTCAGCATTTGTATTTTCACTTCATTCTGCTTTAGCTTTAGTCAGATATGAAGGGGCACTGTCCCCTCCCTCCTTGTCTCCTTCTGTCCCCCAGAACTGTTACCTCTGGCTACTCTCAGCCCTGTGACTGGCGTGGTAGACTCCCGGGTGCCAGAGCTACATTCCGTGATTTAGATTTAGCACTTGCTGTTGAACTGTGTCTTTTTAGAGAGATTCCTTTTTTGCTGTAGTCCCTCTTTTGTCCACACAGATTTACAAATCCCTGCCCTTCTCTCCGCACCCACACCCCAGCCTGGAAGTGGCGCTTCACTGACAGGTCTGCTGGAACTTGCTGATTATGTTCAAACTTAAAGTAAATTGAAATTCATGCCATTTTTGTCGTCTACTAATTCTGAATGTGTAAGTTATGTGTTTTTGGATGTGTCCTCTTTGTCAGTCTCATAGTTTTGTAGGAGGCCACGTTAAGAGATTTAGAATCAAATGATCATGAGTTTTCTAAGGCTAGCTTTAAAATATGTATACTTTTAAAACTCTGTGCCAATCTGATGGGCGTGAAAAGGTATTTCACTACGATTTTCATTACCTTGATTAACTATTTAGTGGGGCATCTGCTATATATTGATTGGGCATTTTTTTGTAACATAGAATGCCTATTTATACCAAGATTTTTCCCATCTTTCTATCAGGTTATGTTTTTCTTTCTCACTTTAAGAGTTCCGTATATATTCTGGATATTAATGCATGGTTATCTATGTTAACATGTATTCCTCCAAATCTGGGACATTTTTATTAATCATGCTATGATGTTAGACTGATGAAAATGTTTTCTTGATTTTAAGGTCAATTTTACCCATTTTTATAGTTGGTATTTTTTTAATTTTACTTCAGAAACTCTTTTCATCCCCAGTGCCATAAAGATATTCTCCTTGCATATTTTCAAAGTTTTAAATTTCTGCCTCTTGGATTTAAGCCCTTCATCTATTTGGAATTGATTTTCATATGTGATGTGAGATAGGAATCCATACTCATTTTTCCCCATGGATAGCCAATTTTTACTGCACCACTTATTGAGAATGTTCTCATTTCTCACTAATTTGTCTGGCAGGACTTTCAAATATTGTGGTTCCACATATAAGCTCATTTCTTTGTGTCTTTCTGGTCTATCAGTCTTTTTGTTTATTCTTGAATCAATATCACACTATATTAATTACTAAAAGCTGTATAATAAGTGTGGCTACCTGGAACATCAAATGACTCCATTAGATATTTCTTAGCCATTTTATCTATGAAGTTAATTTTAAAATCTGTTTGTTGATATCACAACAAAGAACTATTAAGATCTTACTTGGAATTACAATAAATACATCATTTTAGGGGAATACTGACATATTTGAATATCACTTCTCCATGACTCCATTTCTTAGGTGTGAGAAACAATCCAGTTTTCTGATTTTCTTCCCTAATATATTGTGCAACTTTTGTTCATCTTTTCTTCTCATTTGGTATTGCAATTTGACTTTTCTTATATTCCTTATATGTAGAGAACTTGCAAAAAATAATGATGACAGTTTTATCTTTTCCAGTATTTACCTCTTTCTTATTTTATTGTCTTCATTGTGGTTTTCCATACAGCTGTGAATAGTAATCACGGTGGCCACTGTCCTCATCTTATCCATGTGTTTAAAGGAAATGTTTCTGGGGCTCCTGAGTGGCTCAGTCGGTTAAGCCTCCCACCCTTGCTTTTGGCTCAGGTCATGACCTCACAGTCAAGAGATGGGGCCTGAGTGGGGCAGAGAGCCTGCTTAAGACTCTCTCTCTCTCTCTCTCTCTCTCTCTCTCTCTCTCTCTCTCTCTTGGTCTCTCACCAAAAAAGGTCTGGACTGTAAATTGTTAAGGGTTCATAAAAGAAATGGTAGTTTGAGGTTTTAGAAATTAGATCACTGAACTTTCTGATACAATCTTGGTTTTGTTAATTTCAGTCCTTTGATAATCCATTTGTTTTTCATCTTGTAACCAATCCACTTCTATCTCTATTGTAACTTATTGCTTTTATCGTGGCTCACGACACACCTCCAAGAAATAGGAGGAGCCTTTTAAAGATACTTAGTACAGGTACCAACCATGTCAAGTAACTTATTAATCACTTATGGCTTATGTCTGACACAATAACAATACTGAGCTCCAACCTCATTAGAGGATAGTTTGAAATCAGCAAGTCCTTCAAACATTTGTTACTGATTCGTCTGCATTACTCAGGAGAATGTTAGCTCTATTTTTTTTTAATTTTTAAAATTCTAGATGTTGTATTTCTTTCTTGGTTATAATTAGTCCCTACTAGGAATATAGAGCAGCTTCTATGTTTAATTCCTTTGGTATGTACATTCACTTCTTTTTTAAAAATATTTTTATGTAGGGGCGCCTGGGTGGCTTAGTTGGTTAAGCGTCTGACTTTCGCTTAGGTCATGATCTCGCGGTTCGTGGGTTCGAGCCCCGCGTCGGGCTCTGTGCTGACTGCCAGCTCGGA